CGGCCGCAAAGGAACCTAAGACACACATGAGAAGTATGAACTTCAGTAGCAGATATAGCAGTGTATGACTCCGTGACTCAGTGTGAACTTCAATGCTCACGCAAGACAGTGTCGTGGTGCGCGGGGGGCCTCTGGTTCCACCTTGGTTGGAGGTTGCCGTTCTTGCAGACCTCCGTACGGCCAACCACCTGGCATGCAAAACAGTTGCCCGCAGCTTGATGTTATCGAAGACTCAAGCCAGCTGCGAAAGCCACGGTGACATGGCGCAGTTCGATAGAATGGAGACGACGATCTGCAGCCCCGAGCCACAAGCTAAGGCCGACCTTTTCACTGCCATCTTCGTAGCCACAAACCTTTCCAAAGCGCTATCTGCAGACACTCTGACGGCTGGGATGGCCGGGGCTGCTGCCAGTTGGACGAAAACGTCCTGATTCGGCTTCAGGCTGTCGAAGATGCGAATGAGGCGTGCCTTCGGAGTCTGAGTGCAGTCTGTGAATCTTAACAGCTGCCCGGTCTCCGCTGGACTTGACATCCTGAACACGATCTCCACCATGAGGCCTCCAGAATCTTGATGTCCAGCTGCGTGGTGGTCGACATGATGCATGCGCCACTCACGCAAGCATCCCTGGACCTAAACCAAAGCTGTTTGGCTGCCTTGTCCTCTCGAAGCTTGACATACTGATATCGCATGTTAGGGGTGCATCGGGAAACAACGTTGGCTATTTGGAGGAAAGATTCGACTTCGGTCCCCTATAGTCCTCCGCGGCGGAAACTATTAAAGGTCAGCACTCTCAGGGCTAACAGAGCACTTGCTGCAGGTTTTGGAGCAATGGGGCAGTGGATGGGTCTGTGTTTTTCAGCTTTGAGCCAGAGCACCCGGTACGTAGGTCCAACAAACAATCTAATTAAGCAGCTACCCGTCCATATCTTCCATTCCTCTGCTCAACGAGATGGATCTGGTGGCAGCCGCAACGAACAGCAAAGAACAAGACATCGCATGGCCAATGCAACGCTGGCAAACACCCACAGCATCCAAGAGTCCAGCAAAAGAAACCGTGATAACCACACACAAACACACATGTTGCGTGTCAACACACGCGGGCGGAACACATCGTTACGCGAAGCTGGGCCGTGACACTGGCGATGCAGTGCGTTCGAAGCATCTCTTATGTCTCCCATAGTGCCACCACAACAGATACTGCCAAGCACCGTATGCTTGATCTCGAATCAAGTTATCAATCAATGCCCGGTCGAGCCATCATGTCCGGATTCATCTCAGGTTGAAAACTACGGTCTTTTGCATGTGCGCTGCTGGCGCATCAACAAAACTACTCACTTAGTATCATCATGCGATGTCGATGGCTTTGTGGCGGTCGCAGATTTCACAACCGCAGATTTCACAACAGATCTTGGAACACAACGCCAGCAAAGCCAGATCAGACGTCTGGTGGTTTGAACATCGCAGATGAGCTAAACAAATCCGACATCTGCTGGAAACTTGTCCTAGCTTCATGACAGCACACGTGCAGGCGCACCCTAAGAGTCGCATCGTCCAATGCAGCAGGGCTGTTGAACAGACCAGCAACTCTGTCAAATGGTGGATTTGAGGCCGTGCCAGGCTAGCCCTTCTCAGGGAACACAGAAGTTTAATGGCAGGCAAGAAGTTCAAACACTTTTTTGCAACAACTCCGGGAAGAGCCGTTTAGCAGCATCTCTAATGCATCCCAAAGTGCCACCACAACAAATACTGCCAAGCACCGTATGCTTGATCTCGAATCAAGTTATCAATCAATGCCCGGTCGAGCCATCATGTCCGGATTCATCTCAGGTTGAAAACTACGGCCTTTTGCATGTGCGCTGCTGGCGCATCAACAAAACTACTCGCTTAGTATCATTAAACAAATCCGACATCTGCCGGAAACTTGTCCTAGCTCCAAGACAGCACACGCGCAAACGCACTCCAAGAGTCGCAGCGTCCAATGCAGCAGGGCTGTTCAACAGACCAGTAACTCCGTCCAATGGTGGATTTGAGCGCAACAACTCCGGGAAGAGCCGTTTAGCGGCTGTGGCTGCGTATGCTGTGGCGGGACATGCAGCATCTTGAAGATCCTTGCAGCATCGTCTTGACGATCTGCATCGCGCGCAGAGCGCAAGACATCGCGTCGCCATTACAAGGCTGGCGAGCCTCGACATTATCCAAGAACCCAGCAAAAGCACCTTGACAAAGTCGTCAGTGTCTTGCAAATTTCACAAACACACATGTTGCGTGTCAACACACGCGGGCGGAACACATCGTTACGCGAAGCTGGGCCGTGACACCACCATATGCTTGATCTCGAATCAAGCTATCAATCAATGCCCGGTCGAGCCATCATGTCTGGATTCATCTCAGGTTGAAAACTACGGTCTTTTGCATGTGCGCTGCTGGCGCATCAACAAAACTACTCACTTAGTATCATTAAACAAATCCGACATCTGCCGGAAACTTGTCCTAGCTCCAAGACAGCACACGCGCAAACGCACTCCAAGAGTCGCAGCGTCCAATGCAGCAGGGCTGTTCAACAGACCAGTAACTCCGTCCAATGGTGGATTTGAGCGCAACAACTCCGGGAAGAGCCGTTTAGCGGCTGTGGCTGCGTATGCTGTGGCGGGACATGCAGCATCTTGAAGATCCTTGCAGCATCGTCTTGACGATCTGCATCGCGCGCAGAGTGCAAGACATCGCGTCGCCATTACAAGGCTGGCGAGCCTCGACATTGTCCAAGAACCCAGCAAAAGCACCTTGACAAAGTCGTCAGTGTCTTGCAAATTTCACAAACACACATGTTGCGTGTCAACACACGCGGGCGGAACACATCGTTACGCGAAGCTGGGCCGTGACACTGGCGATGCAGTGCGTTCGAAGCATCTCTTATGTCTCCCATAGTGCCACCACAACAGATCCTGCCAAGCACCATATGCTTGATCTCGAATCAAGCTATCAATCAATGCCCGGTCGAGCCATCATGTCCGGATTCATCTCAGGTTGAAAACTACGGTCTTTTGCATGTGCGCTGCTGGCGCATCAACAAAACTACTCACTTAGTATCATCATGCGATGTCGATGGCTTTGCTGCGGTCGCAGATTTCACAACCGCAGATTTCACAACAGATCTTGGAACACAACGATGGCGAAAGCGGGAATCAAGAATCTGGTTGCCAACATGATGCAGCATCCAACATCTGTAGGAATGCAAAGGCACGTATAGAAACCAAATGTCCGAGTTCCAAGACAGCACACTTGCATGCACGCCTTGTCGGAGCGTCACACCGTCCAAGCGGCATGCTGGGGGCTGACATGCCGCCAACATGAACAACAGGCCAGCCAGTCTGAACCCTGTTTTAGGGCTCAGCTAATCCAATCGCAGCACACGGATGCGAATCCAAAACGCCTCAACTTTCAAGCAAGACTTCAACAAAAGATAGCTGGTGAGCTGTTCGAACTCTATACAACCTATGCAGCGGCATCGCAGCCCTGACATTTAGGGAGGGATGTGCGCATAGTCGGATATGCCGCCCGTACTGCAGAGCAACCCCCAAGGCCATAAGGCTTCAAGCGCCGCATTTCCTTTCTCCTGCAACCCTTCTACTTCCCCAGCATGGGCACCTCGTAGAGTGTGGTGGGAACAGAGCCCCCAAGCCCCAAAAGCCTAAACACGATCCTTAATGGAATTGCCAGCTTAACAGGCTGGGCCAATCCGCAGACCTTAAAACCCTAAGCCGTGAAAGTCCACATCCACTGCAGACAGTCCCAGCTGGGGTTCGGAGTCTGCTTCCAAAGCACGTGTCGCATTTTGCTCTTACATACCCGGCTTGGAATGAAGGTTAAACGCTAAGTGTGTCTCTTTCGGAGGATTCAGGTTGCTAGCATGTCACATACCCTTCGAGTTCCTGATCTGATGATGGCGACGATAGTGATAATCGAGTTGGGCGGGCAACATTGGTGCCGCTTTTGATGGTAGAGAGGTGCAAGTGAAGACGACAACGAAGAGCAGGAGCAGGAAGACGAAAGGTGTAGCGGGTATGATAATGGTGACGATCATGATTATGACGATGATGGCGATGCTGCTGCAGCTGGTGGGGGTGAAGACGACGATGACGATGACAGGGACGATGACGCTGATGATGATGATGATGGTGATAATGATGGTGACGATGATGACGAAGACGAAGACAATCATGATGATGATGATAACGACGATGATGATGATGATGGCTATTGTGATGGTGAGCATCATTAGGGCAACTGTGATGACGACTCTATCAGGCTCGGCGAACAGCTGCTGTCACACTTGCGATGCAAGCAGGACCGAGCACGGGTACTGCTCGAAACCCTTCAGAACTCCTGAAGTCATCCACAACACCATGCAACATGCGCTCGTACTCGCTGTTAGATGGCAGAGGCATGCAGCTCGTGTCTTTCGAAGACAGGGTGATTCTTTTTTTTGACTTGGGCCTCAGTAGCTGCACTTTGGCACCACCGGTTTCCTGTGTGAGACACACGCAACCGAAAACGGTGCAGAGAAGATCTGACCCCCAACGAGGAAAGCCCGGAGTCTGGTAGCACCCTGTTAAAAGCGTTCATTGCCGGTTCCTCCAAAGGGCAGATCCTATTCAAGGCCCTACTTGGCAGATATGACGCACGGCCTAGGTCCTAGGTCTGTCAAATGATCTTCTTTGTCGTTGGGCTTGCTCGCGCCATGCCATTGTCGCATCTTGGGATGTCCAGTAGTCCCTTTTCGCGTTCGTCATTTCGAAGACTTACACGTCGTCTCCGCCGGCAAACATTGGCACCGGACGATCGGAAGCATGGAAGAAACCCTTTATGTCTCTTCAGAGACCCCACGCCCTTTACATTGAACCTCCACCATCCGGCAAGTGCAATAAGTTTAATTGAAGTGAACGAGAGCATTGCAACGTTCATCGACGCTACATTTCACAAAAACAAGAGGGCTGCGAAATCACGCTTCACATTGCGAAAATGGCCAAAGGCCTGTGGATGCCTTCTCCTGGCCCGACTCGCCCTCCATGAGGTGTAGGAGCATCTCCATGTTCGCTTCCGAGAAGCTGTCACCCCGAGCGGAGGATGCATTGAAGCCCAGCTCTTTTTCCAGCCGCCCACGGATCTCTCGAACATTTGCCATAGCATCCTTGAGTTCGGTGAGGCGCCTGGGCACATCGGGCACATCATAGAGACCGTTGATCTTCTCCTGGAGCTTTGGGCTCTTGGCTATGTGATTCTCTCGGCAGGCAGCATGGACGGCTGCACCATATGGCGAAATAGCGGCCGCCGCAGTAGTGATCCCTGCCACGCTGGCCCCACAGAGGGCACTGATATCAAGGAAATCGTTGCAGTGGACGACGATCAAGTTAATGAAGGTCACGACCTTTCATGAGGGGGTGGGAGGCTGACAGGAGCTCAATCCTTTGACGCATGGCCTGGCTGATGTACGTCACCGCCCCGCCGATGTCGACAGTGCACAGCGCCTGACAACAAGTGACTGTGAAGTCCAAATCTGTCCAAACCATTATTCAAAATCTGTCTAAACCATTATTCAAGGAGACAGTTCACAACAGCTGTTTCGACAGGTGCATACCTCCGGGATTCCGGTGAGCTTGTTCAAAGGGGACGCCTTTGCTTTCCAACCGCACATTCCTGAGTTGACGGCACCGTTAATGGCCAAGCCCATGTTGGCGATATTCGTCACGACCATGCCCACGTCGATGCCGCACTGGACGCCGTTCCCGATGGCACCCTCACCGATCAGCAGCCGTCGTCCCGGCGCACCGCGGACGGTCTGGTCGCCCAGCACACTGATCTTCGTCGTCGTAAGGCCTTGTTTGGGGCATGCTTCCGCAAAGCAAGTAACGAGAGCTGCCGTTAGGTTTCCAGACCAGGAAATGGATCATCGGATAAAGGTTCCATGTCATGCAAATCACTTGC